GTCCTTTGTAGCAAGTATAGATAAGCAGTGGATTCCCCTATCCCGTGTTTGTAAAAGTCTGGAGCTTTACTACTCATGTGTCTTCTCAGAAGCGAGCTGAGAAAAACCACAGACCCGCAGACTGGGGCATTGCTTTGTTGAGGACGAGAGAGGGCCTGGAAGATTGCAGGATGGTGACAGATATAAAAAAAAGCAAAAACCGGCATTGCAGATGGGACACGTCGGGCAATTCTTGCATATGCAAAGAGAGCTGTAGCACAAGGCCATGACGATCTGATATGGCCTCGCTTCGCAATAAGCATGGTCAAATGGGCGCCTCGCAAACAGCCTTGATGGTCGCGCGCGCGTTCAAGTATACGAGGCCGTTTGGGTGAAGATGCTGATGAGAGTAAAGGGGAGGGCGTCAAGAGATGCACCTCTTGACAGGAATGGATGGCATGAAACACGGTGATGGAATGACTTGCTGATGATTGGGTTAACGTTAGCCGTGAAAGTGTGGATGCCTGTCGGCCTTGGGAATGGCGAGCCGGATTATTGGCGGGGGGGTTTGCAGACTCGCAGCTTGTCCACCAATATGGATGCACGAACAGCCGAGAAGGATCTGGGAGTCGTCTCCATGACCGACAGCCAAGCGGACTACGACGATTATGGGCGAATAGCGTTTCACTTGTTGTGCGTGCTACTCTGTTGACGGATATTGTGTCAGCGTAGAGGTCGCGCGCAGCAAGGCATCCTTTTGGATGCAGCTTATCAGGTGGTGCTCCAGGCCACGATGGAGTGCAGACTCGCATGGGCGAGTCATGGATAGTCAGCCCTCGACAGCCCCCCTGTCGTCTGGCTGGACGGGTCGATTGAGTGCAAGCAAGCAAAGAAGCTTCGGCAACGGCAAGACAGCAGCGGTCCAAAGCGGACTATCCTCCGACGACAGCAAAAACATTGTACAACGGTGTACCCTGCGTACATCATCGATCCGTGGCGCACTTGCCAGACGGGAAGGCTTTTGCGGGCGTTTATGCTAGCGGGCAGAAATAAGTGGTGCGTCCTGGTTCAGGCAAAGGGACCTGGGACCAGGTGGCTTGAGAAAGATCAGCGAGATCCTGGGTGTGGAGTTGGGATGATGGCGTCCCGCCACACAGACGTATGTATGGTTGCGTGTATGCCTCTGGTGGTGCTGCTGCTGCAGGTACAGTATTAGCCGGGGTGGACATGACGGTCGGCACAGCAGATTTGGGCTTGGGCGTCGACTTTGACAGCTTCTCCCTAGATACGTAAAAGGTAAGACGATTCGTACGTAAACTGTGTGGCCAGGTGGGGGAGAATGGACCGATGGACGGCGAGTTTTGGCCGGGAATAGAGAAGAGGCCAGGCTGAGCCAGGCGGTCTGGGCGGCTGAGGAGAAGGTGCTGCCATGCGCTGGTGCGCAGGATGGAGAAGAGGGAATTGGGGCTAGCGCGTATCTGGCAGAAGGCCTGACCAAGACTAATCATAATCATGGCCGTGTTGGAAGCGTTCCAGAGCGGTTAGAAGCGACAAAACGAGCCGATGAGAGAGGTAGGCCTAAACGCAGTTTGACGCAAGTCGCGTTGGGCCAGCATGGGCACGAGGCAGGGGTTGGCGAGCGAAGGGGCGGTCACCCTGGTCGCGGGCGATTGGGGGGGGGGGGGGGAGCGGAATGCCCAAGGGCTAAACCTTGGGTTGTTTTCTCTCGGCTGCATCACGCAGGAGAAGGAGCTATTGAGGGCAGCGCAGCGCAGCGCAGTGGACCAGAGGGCAGCGTGGGGTGCACAGGACGTCATTTTACAGCGACTCAGTTGTGCAAACAGGCTCATTGTCAAACCACGGGCCAGGCTGGCTGGCGCAATATACTTCCTTGCTAATACTAGAAGCGACGCGTGACGAGGCCATTGACGACGACGGTCCGTGTGGTGAGAGAGCGAGCGAGCGAGCGAACGAACGAACGAGCGAGCTTGGAGGCAGCGAGCCATGGGCCCTGGTGTCGTTCTGTTGGCGGCTGCAGGGAGAGAGAGAGAGAGAGAGAGGGAACGAGAGGATGAGTGCGGCGAGGCGGCCATGGGCTTGCGGGCCATGGGCGAGCAGGTGCGGCTCACAACGTGGCCGCCGGCGGCGCCGCTGCCTTTCGGATGCGGACGACAAGCGAGGCGAGGTTGTCGGAGGGCTGGCGAGCACGAGAGCGGTTTTTGCTTCTGACAGAAGAGGCAGTGCGTCAACGGAAACCCAGGGGGGCGGTTAGGGCGTGGTGGGCGCAATGGGCGCAGTGGGCGGCGTCGGTTAGAGGAACAAGACTCGGGTCCTGGGATGAGGGGGCTTGGCGGTGACGGGGGTGTGTGTGTGCGTGTGCGTGGTGAGGACGAGTTTTTTTGGTTTTGCAGGCCGGCTGCGCTCCAGGGCCAGCTGGGCCCGTGGGGACACGGACACCCCGAACGCCTGAGACGCTTGTGCAGAGATCTGTAGGGTAGAACGGGCGGGACCTTAGCGTAGCCAGCTGGGCGGGGGTGGCCGTTGATCTGGCTTGACGGGCGGCTGATTAGGGGGAGGGAAGGCCGTCACGCCAGGTTGGCGGTGATGGCGTCGAGGATGCGTCGAGGTGCGTCGAGGATGCATGGGGGATGGGCGGAGAGGGAGAGAGAGGAGGGAGAGTGGGTGAGCGGGTGGGTGAATGAGTGGGTGGGTGAGTGTCAGTGACGACGCCAGGGAAGGGGCGACGGACATGCGTGTACAGCTAGTGGGGACAGCAACAGACAGACGGGTGCGGGCGTGCCGTGGGCGATGCGGTCATTGAGCAGCTACCTGAAGGCAGCCCTTTCATCAGGCAAGGCTGCCTGCTATACAGTACACCTACCCTACACGCATACTCACACACCCTCTCTCTCTCTCTCTCTCTCTCCAATGACGGTGTGGTGGGGTCGGCAACGCTGAACCAAACAAGCTCAAGCAGCAACAAGCGCGCCCCCCAAGAACCGGCAGTAGGACGGTGGGCTGAGGCATCCAAGAGCCAGTGTATGCATGTGTCGTCTCGTGCGTGCAAAAGCGTTGTGAGGGTGAGGGTGAGTGAGGGTGTGGGTGGGTGCGGACGTGTGCGAATGCGAGTACGTCTTGTGGGTTGGTTGGTTGGTTGGTTGGAGCAGGCGAATCAGGAAGGCAGCTCCGGCCAACCATCGGATCGCGCCTGCCCTCCCCCCCACCCCCTTGGCGAGACATCGCTTATCCGGGCGCGTGATTGGGTCGAGGGCCCCAGGATCAGGGCAAAAGCTCGCAGGCCCCATCGCAGCTGCAAAACACGCTGAGAGATGAAGGGTCGCGGCGCGCGTTGGTTGCGATGCGCGGGCATGCGCGGCCCCATGTATTGTATTTTGCTTCTGCGCGACGGGTGTGCATGGCAGGGCAGGGCAGGGCAGGGCGGGTCGCGCAGCACATGTCAGTGTGCGGCATGGCAGCAGCGGCAGATGGACCCAGGGGCGGCGGGCTGCGTGTGAATGTAGTGTATCGAGGACAGCTACCGCTACAGCTAGTAGGCTATGTATGGTGTGTGGATGTATGTGTGTGGATGTGGGTGTGGTGTAGCGCTTGGCCCTGCAGGACGCCTTAGCGAGCTGGGCGTCGCAGCGGCTGCCCCAAAACAATGGTCTGTGGCATCAGCCCTTCAGCACGCGGGCCTTGCAAAGCCAGACGAACGTGAAGGCAGAGCAGCGATCGACGGCGGAGTCGTCCCCAGTTCCTTGTCGCTTTGACGTTCCGCCAGCCAGCGCTGGCCAAAACCAGGCCGCCGGGAAAGCGCGCCCTGGCTGCCGCGACGTCGAGCGACACGACCCATCGGGGCAGACCAGAGTCGACGCAGACGTGTGAGGCGTTGCGTGGTGGCTATTGTGGCCATTCTTGCTGTTGTCGTTGCGGCCATGCTTGCTGGTATTATTGCTGTTGTCGCTGTTACGGGTATTCTCGTCGCTGGGCTGGTCGTCGCGACCACCATGGAGCTGGGCTGGGCTGGGCTGGGCTGGGGCTGGGCTGCGACGGGCGGCTGGGGCGACGGGGGGGAGGGGAGGGGCGCCCAAGACGCAAGCGACGGCACCAGACGCGCGCAAAAACAATGGGGTGGAAACGGATTCAATGCAGCTTTGGCACAGGTGCAGGCAAGGCAGGCAGGCACAGGCAGCGCGTCCACGTGGAGATGGGCGCGGGCAGGCCCATCTAGGCAGAATGTACGACGGGCGTCGGGGGGCGGCTGGTGGGTGTGAGAGATTGCGGCGGGCATGGCTGCTTATTCGACCATGGCGCATTGCGCTGCACACGTGCCGCAGCCCAATATACTTTGGCGCCTGATTTTAGACAAGCAATCATCCCGCCGCCGGCCAATGGCGTCGTGGGCCGGCCCCCAGCTCCAGCCTTCCGCACCCACGCCCGGACCGCGTCTGGCCATGGCCCGTGCCCGCCTCTCTCTTCTGCTGCTGCTGCTGCTTCCTCCAGCCTCTCTCGCGCTGGTACTGGACAGGGAACGGGTATCGCGTCGATCAGCCACTTGGCACACACACACAGTCTCTCTCTCTCTCTCTTCCAGGCATGCCCTGCCCTGCCCTGCCCTGCCCTGCCCTGCCCCCCCCCCCTTGCTAGATGGATGGATGTATGGATGGATGGCTGCCCGCGAAACATGCATGCATGCATCCATGTATGTGCAGTCTAGTCTAGTCGAGTCGGGTCGAGTGTAGTGTGGGTGTGGGTGTGGGTGTGTGAGTGAGTGTGTGTGAGTGTGTGAGCTTGTATGTGTGTGTGTGTGTTGATGCCAACTCTTGCTAGGTCTATGTATGCCATCCATCCATCCATCCATCCATCATCATCATCATCATCAGGTGCTGCTCGCCGTCATGGTCCTTCTCGGCTAGCGCTGGGCCCGTTTTGCACAGCGCCATTTCGTCAGCTAACATGCAAAGCGGTAAAAGCACGGCCGCACCAGCACTGGTCGCCGAACAGGAGCGGCTGCAGGGATCATGGCCAGAAGCGCAGCTGGACTCTGCTTGCACTTGTTTCTCGCAGACGCTGCCTGCGGTGGTGGTGGTGGTGGTGGTGGTGGTGGTGATGATGCTGCTGCTGCTGCTGTGACGCCGAGGCTCGCGGCAATGCAGCGTCATGGATGGCGAGGCCGCCTCTCGTGCACGCCTCTTCACCCACGCACCCTATCCACCGACACGGCGAGGCGCGCACTCGCTGCTCGCACCCGCAGTCACAACCACCACCACAACCGCCGCCAACGGCCATTGGCCCGTCCCCCTCTGCAAACGGCGGGCGTGGGCAAAGGGGGGCGCAAAAGGGTCGTCTTTGAGTTTTGGCTTTGTCTCTCTCTGGCCACGGCGACGACGCACACTCTCTGCTCTCTCGCTCTCGCAGCCAGGCGTGCCCCAGCCTAGACCGCGGCCCGTGCGCCCATCAGGCTCTCCCACACGCACACGCACACGCTCACGCACACGCAGGCCACGTCGGCTTGGCGCCAGTCCCGACGCACTTTAGACTTCTTCTCCGGCGCCGCGCTGCTCCTGACCCTTGGTGCGCGCCCAAGACAAAAGCACTCCGCCACATGTCTGTCTCTTGTCGTGCCGCAAGCCTGGGTCAGGAGAGAGCCGCATGCCCACCAAAACTTGCCCATCCAGCCACCCGGCGTCATGTTTGGTCGGCATCAAAGAGTCGCACGGCCAAGGGGAAGGGGAAGGCAAAGGGAGACGGAGGATGGGGGTTCCTGGCGCCATGTCCCAGCGGCTGTCTCTCTGTCTCTCTCTCTGCCTCTCTCTCCCTCTCCATCTCCCTCTCCCTCTGTCCATGTCTCTCCGCCCTCGCCATGGGTGCTGTATGGTCCTTTTTTTTCGCTGCTCTACACACGGCCCGGCGCAAGCCATCATGGCCTCGTCCACCAGGCTGGTCCAAGCCGTCCCGCACGCCAGCTCCTCGTCTGGCTCCGACACACACACATGGCCTGCGCACAGGGTCTGGCTATGGACGGCCTGGTACGTGCTTTCACACATCCACCCACACCCACACCCACACCCACACACACCCACCCACACTCGACACCCCGGTCATGCATTGTAGTGGGCGGCCCCATGCCCGCCTAGCTCTCTGGACTGAGTCTGAACGGTGTGGGTGAATTATTCATTCGTCGCATTGCTTCTGCCGTGCCTCGTTTGCATTGCCTTATTGTGACAAAGTGCGTCTGTGGGTAGCGCTCCCGCCCGACTCACCTGAGGCTGCCTCTTGGCCTCTTCTTCATCTCCCATCCCGATCCAGATCATCCTCAAAAGGCTTGGACGGTCCCTATCGCCTGGTTGAGCCCTTGGTAATCCCAAAGCCCCCGTCCGCCAGTCAGCCACGCGAGCCCGCCAACCCTGACAAACCCACCCTAGCCTTGCCCTACTTACATATACCTAAAGGCCCAGCGCTCTCTCCACTCGCTCGCCCGCACCAAAGCCTCCGCCATCGCTCCTGCCTAGGCCGCCATCGACCTGAGCTTAACACGGTGCGATCGCCGCTCCACGCGCCGCCGACATCTCCACAACCACCACCACCACCACACGCTCTCAAGTGCAAGGCTCATCCTCCCCCCTTCCCCATCCACCACCACCACCACCACCACCCCCGCCAAAACCACCAGTGGGTCTCACGTCTTCAACTCAATCTACACCACACTACCCTCCACCACACAACGTCTTGCAACGCCGCCCGCCCGCCAAACACCACGCTAACCCTCCACTGCTCCTCTTTGCCGCCGCTGCCCAGAGCACTGGATCCCCTCCACCATCCCCAAAAAAGTCTATAGCCTCCAAGGCAACCACCACCAGCCCGCCTCCTCACACATGAGCCACTGTCGTTAGACCAACCCTCCCCTTCCCCAATTCCTTCCTACACAGATTCTGTGTAACTGCACCTCCCCCCCCCAGTAGCACCACGTCTGCGCGACCAGGACTTCGGGCCCTACCCACCACTTTGTGTCCAACACCACCACAGTTTCACCAACATCCGCTTTTGCTCTCTTGTACGCCCCCTCCATCCTCGACTTGCCACGACAAGCACCACTAACACGCCCCAGCGACTGAGACTTTTTGAAATTTCTTTACGGCCAGACGTGCGTACATCGGTATCACCACTCGCCCGAACCAGCGCAGGTACCATTACTGGGACCGTTCGTTCAACTGCACCCATCTCAGAGGCATTCGAAGCAGCCATTAGCCCTTGAGACGCAACCAACGAGAGAGAGAGAAAAAGAGAAATCAGCCCCCGGCGCTCCATTGCTACTCCATAGACCGCTTCGCCATTTTTCTACTTGAAGGTCCTTTCACCTGTTTCTTCTCCCACATCATCACCTCTCGCACTTCACGCTTGAGCTACAAGCCATCCCATAGCCTTCACGTGGGCCGCATTAGTCTAGTACTCGCGACTACACCCACCCCGCCGTTTGCAGCGTCACAGCTGCAATCTTTCCCAAGCCCCCCTTCCCCTCATCCAAAGTAGGTGGGTCAATAGGACCTACCCGCGACACAACCGCCAACGTGGCTGCTGCCGTGGCTCATCCGTCTTCCATGCATCCTGGGTCTGACCCAATGGGTGTACCTCCCAGCTTTGCAGCGCGGAGACCTCACGCCCAGCAGCTCGGCAGCTTTGAGCTGCCCCCGCCACCGATGCACAAATATCCCTTCAACAGCACCGTTACCGCTTCACAGTCGCCACAGGCCCCGGCCACGATTGCCAGTGTGGGCAATCTCCTGACTCCGCCAAACACAAACCACAGCGATGTGATAAGCTCGTCAGGAGTTTCGACTGCCGGCCCCCAGTACTCGACAACAATGGCCTATTCAAACGGCCAATACATGTACTCTCCCCCAGCCCAGCCATCGGCTGCCCACTATGGCTACTCGGCTGCCCACCACCAACAAAACCAATACGCTCAGACCCGAGGAGGTATGTTTGCTCCACCGCGTGCCGACGGCCAGATCGGACGGCAGGACTCACTCGGCAAAGGGCTGAATCCGCCACCGTATGAGATGAACCAGCAGCTTCCCCCTTTTACGCCTTCGTCCAACGGATCCAGCATGCCCTCAATATCCACACAGCCGCAGCAGCAGCAGCAGCATCACCACCACCAGCAGATGATGGGTGCCCAAACACCCGTCTCGTCGTCCGCACCTCAGCAGTCTCCCGCACTCAGCCAGGACTCGTTCAGGCCGCCTCAGCCCCCCACCCCTACCTACAGTTACCATAGCTCGGGAACCCCTCAGCATTCCAACTTTCCCTACTCGACGGGCCCATCACCAACACTGAGCCAACAGCACAGCCCCATCAGCGCTGGTGGATCCATGCAGCGAATGTCACCAGCCGTGTCGCAGGGCTCCATGCCATCAATACCGTCCAACAACCCCGCACAGTCGCCATACCAGTACCAGCAGCGCCTGCCTCTACAGTACGGTGGAGGCCAAGCGCCCGTCTTTTCCAACGTGCAAAACCCAGCCGGCGGCCTTGCACTGGTTGGCGGACATCCCGCCATGATGTCTGGCTTCAACAGTGGCCACGCTGCGGCTATGCCGCACTTCATGGGTCACCCCCAGCACCAGCCACCGACTGCCAACGACCGTCCCTTCAAGTGCGATCAATGCCCACAGAGTTTCAACAGGAATCACGATCTGAAGCGACACAAGAGGATCCACCTCGCCGTGAAGCCGTTTCCTTGCAGCCACTGCGACAAGAGCTTCTCAAGAAAAGACGCGCTCAAGGTACGTCTGGCCTGACACAATGGCTCCTGCATACATACACATACACAGATTTGCTGACACAAGCACAGAGACACATACTAGTTAAAGGCTGCGGAAAGGCCGCTGGCGACGATGCCAAGCGCGAAAGCCACTCACCAAAGGCGGACGATTTGAAGTCACACTCATAGTCAACCAGCGCTGCGTCGAGAGGGCCTGCTTCGCCATGTACGCCCTGGTCTTTTCACTTCTTTTCTCCTGTATTATTTACCACCATCTTATGCGTCCTTTCCCCTGGTTTCGGCGTTTTCAGCATTCGGGGAGCACCACGTTACCTTGGCTGCAAGCATTCCGGTCACGACTCGTCATGTTTTGATGTTCTTTTTTTGTTTATTTTTTCCAACGGGAAAGGGTCGGCCTCGGGACATGCAAAGGGAGTTCATCTGATTTCTTCTTCTTCTCTCGGTATTCAGGGTCTTCAACGCGCATTTTTTCTTGTTCCTCATCACGTCACTTTCAATCCCTGTTTTTTTTATTCTTTTATTTTTCTTTTCTTCTCATCTATTGCCATGTTTCGGAAACGCGTATACCTCTTACTCGTCTTGATTTGCCCCGTCTCTTTTTGGGGGGGTCGGGTTGGGCGTGGGGGGGACCCTGGATTCTCGGTGTATGTATCAGGTACCATGTATGGCACAAGGATGTGTGTGGGATGTTTTTTCTTGTTGGTCTTGTTCGTGTTGCTTGCGCCATTTGCGTGTGTGTGTGTGTATGTGTGCGTGTTTTTTGTTTTTATTTTTGGTCGCGAGTAGTGAGTGTGTTATGCGCGTTCCGCTTGTTCGTCTGCGAATTATGCTATGCTTTGGGTTTTGCTTTACCGGAACGAGAGGGCTCCCGGGCTGGGATTCCCGGTCCAGGGTATGTTTGGGAAGGGGGAAGGGGGCGCATGGCATGGCATGGCTTCGGTTGGGCTCTCGCTCGCTCTCTTGATTGCGGGGAGTGTAATGTTTCAAGGCGGGACACGACAGGTTAACTCTCCGGGCGCACTTTTGGCCCGAACCGCGCACATGGTTGCCTAGGCCCCATTCGAAGCATAAAGCAAAAAAAATTAAAGGATATTTTCTCATCCCGATGGCCTTTTTCATGCTTTCGTCCTGATGTCTTCCTTTCCTCCCCACCACGAAAAAAAAAACGACACAAAGTTTATTCATGCGCGCTCTCGCACCCATGCATGCATGCGCCGGCACATGCTCACATCCATGTCTTATACTTTATCCCATGCTCTCGCCGCTGCGCGCGCACACACCCAATGTTTCCTTTGCCTCTGTGTATTATCATGGCAGCGAATGAATTATCATGCATGTTCCACACACCTCGTCTCGTACGTAACCAAGAAAGAATGAGCACGCGGGGGTCACGGCCGGGACGCCCATCTATGGCGCACACCCATGCACATAACATAACATGTTCCTGAACGAGCCTCGAGCACGAGCCTCGCCAAAATAAAAAAAAACAAGACCGGACGATGCGTTTAAGGTTTCTTGTTTAAAACCCATGTACCGGGACCGCGTCTTCCCTTCTCTGCCCTTCTTCCCACATCCCCGCCTTTGCGATGCGTTGCGCGCGTCCCCGGCATCTTCCGGTGCACTTGGACGTGGGTACGGAACTTGGCTGACCCTTGTCCACACACACACACACACACAAACTTGGCTACTCTTACTGACGGGGTTACTGACTGGGGTCATTGCTCGCTGCACACTACGCAGGCTAGCCAGCCACAGCCACGCCGCTTGGACGCTGGCCTTTATGCTGACCGATTCGACTAGATTGTTCAACTTTGCCTTTGAACTTTATCGTATTGTTGTGGATTTTGTGTATGTATATACGGTACGTATATGCGCTGTGTATATACGCTACTTATGGATAGATCTGTGTCCCCTGCGCCTTACTACTTAGTCTGATGATGCTGATGCTGATGCTGATGCTGACCATGATCGTGATGATGACTGCCATCTCGAAATAACCACCACCACCACCACCACCATGGCGCCGATGCCGATGCCGATGCCGATGGCCATGATAACGCCGACAATAGCAAGGATACACATACAGACAAACCGCGTTTCTCCTCCCTACCTTAGTCAGGCGGTGTTTTTTTTTCCTTCTCTTTTTGAAATCACTCCGCGACGCTGCTAACACACCTGAGGCCTCTGCTTTTGGTACTCGCTGTGTTTTGTTGTGTGTTTGTGCCTGCAAAGCCGGGCACAAGTGAGGCGTGCCACGGGGCGTTACAACACTGAGGTATATATTTCCTTGGTGTGTGTGTGAGGGGGGAGACGGGGTTAAATTTTTTCTTTTTTCTTCTTCTTCTTCTTCGTTTCTTTTCTGCGGCTGCCCAGCGAAACGGATATCGATTGGGACATGTGGATGGATGGGGGAGGGGCAGAGTCTAGACTTGGTTTGGTGTGTTTTGCAATGGGTGGTGCAGTGGTTTCTGTGCTTGCTTGGTGTCTGCCATGCATAGTTTCTCTGCTTGATCGTGCTGAAATTCATCCTTTTCTCCTTCTTGCATGCTTTTCTGTGATGCATTATTTTTCTCTTCTCGTGCGTTGGCGCTGTGTCTCTTCTCTTGCGGTTTGACTTGCAGTGGCTCTTGGAAAAAGACAGAGGGCGACTGTTGCTTAGTCCACGTGATTGGAGGCATGCACTCGTGCTATCATGGCAAGAAAGGCATTACCTCTCATGTCGTCAATATCTCAGCATCAAGTTCGACTTCCACCATCAATCAGAATCCTTCTACCTGCTTCCAACCAATGCCTCCGTTGCGTGATTCTAGATGCTCATATCCGCTGCTCCTCGACTCACCACAGACGCCTTCCTCTCTCTGAAAACATGGCGAGCCCGCTCTTGCCACTGCGCGTTTGCATCCATGGCGCCTCCAGGGTCCGTCTGTGCACAAACTTGCCCTCCCACCTCCAGATATCTTCACCCTCAGTGCTCGCATAGCTGCTTCACCGTATGCATCCAACTACTTGTTAGCTTTTGAAGCCAGAACAGACTCAATTGGCATCGCACTCCTGGCCCTCTTTCTCTTACCCGCCCTGTCTACTGCCTCGCTTGGCCTCGACTATCGGGCGCCCTCACTGTCAACAGCGATAACCAAAACACCCATCTTGCCCATGGCGCTTGTCTGACGCCACTCACTATAGCCAGCTGCTTTATCACGACACCGCACTACTGGCTTCTTTGGCGTTGGCGCAAACTTGCTTATCCCGTACATTTTGACTGGCAGACTCTTCCGCTATCATAGTCAATACTGCCGCACTACTCGAGGCCCCACCTTGACAACTGCACTCATATATCCAGCAGCATGGACTCTGCATTCCTTGGCCGGCCGCCGCTCCGCCGACGCGCCCTTGGAGACGGCACAAATCGTGCAAACGAGGGCCCACGCAGCCAGCGACGTGACGAAAAGCACGACAGTGCCCATGTGCCATCCGCCTCGCCCCAGCCGCTCCCGCACAACGAGTCTATCGTCCCAAATGGCTCTCTTTCCATCCGCCACGAGCAAGCTTCTCTGGAAAACAAGCATCTTTCTGCTGTTCAGGCCCACGATGGTCGCCCGCCTAGCTCCAAGCGCGACTCTGAGATTTCCAACACCAGCACCAATGCCTCTAGCTCGAACCGCCGCCGCAAGACACACATTGGCCCGTGGCAGCTCGGCAAGACCATTGGCCGCGGCGGCTGCTCGCGTGTGCGGCTGGTCAGACACTCTGGAACCGGGCAGTACGGCGCTGCCAAAATCATCTCCAAGGCCACAGCCGAGAAAGTGCGTGCTTTGAGCCTGGCCAACCTCATCAAGAGTGCCGAGCAGGATCCGACGCTTTATTCTGATGGCAAAGTAATTCCCTTTGGCCTAGAGCGTGAGATTTGCATCATGAAGTTGTTGGACCATCCCAACATTGTCCGTCTGTACGACATTTGGGAGAATCGAGACGAGCTGTAAGTGCACATCACCAATTTGGGGTTTAAATCTGACAAGTATCAGCTACCTCATCATGGAGTTTGTTGAAGGCGGCGAGCTCTTCAGTTACATCCACGAACAGGGCGGCTTGATCGAAATCCACACTGTACATATCTTCCGCCAGATCATCGCAGCCTTGATCTACTGCCACCGAATCAATATTCACCACCGCGACCTCAAGCCTGAGAACATACTGCTGGATAGAGATACCATGACAGTCAAGCTGGTCGACTTTGGCATGGCTGCTCTGCAGCCGGCTGGAAAGCAGCTCACCACACCTTGCGGCAGCCCCCATTATGCAGCCCCCGAGGTTATCAAGACTACATCCTACGATGGCGGAAAAGCAGACGTTTGGAGTTGTGGAGTCATCCTATTCGTTCTCTTGACAGGCACGCCTCCCTTCAACTACTCGGGCGACGACCGTCATTTGAAGCATCTGTTTCGCGACATTGCAGAAGCCAAGTATGTCATGCCCGACAACATCTCTAAAGAAGCCCAGGATCTGATCAAGAGAATATTGGTGCCCGAGCCAAAGCGCCGTATATCCCTTGAAGAAATCTGGAATCACCCCTTCTTGCGCAAGTATCAGCAAGAGCTGAATTTCCATGGAGAGAACGCTCATCTTGATCACTGGACTGGCCCCCTTCCTGCTATAGCAGATTGGGTACCGTTGAACCGAGCCACGATTGATCGCGAGATTCTGAGATATCTGCGTACGCTCTGGCACAGCGAGAAGGAAGAAACTGTGATCCAAAAGTTGATGAGTAATGAGTAAGTCATCTCCATGCATTGCCCACGCACATCACTAACTTTGGCCATAGACCAAATCAGGAAAAGTACTTTTATTCTGCACTTCGCAAGTATCATACCGACCAGTTGGAGAATTATCAGCCGAGCGCTCATCATGCTGTTGCGCATTCCAACAGCGATCACCATCACAACACGCGTTATTCGCCTACGCGCTTAGACATTGCAAAGCTCCCGTCGAAGCAGCATAACCGTTCACAGTCTGCGTATTCGATCCTCAACAATGAACATCTCTACTCGAAGCACAGCCTCTATGAGTCGCCAGCTTCCGAAGCGAGCTACGACCCCTATCGAGCCTCGAGACAGCCTGTAATTCCTGTTCCTGGGGATACGCCATTGAGCCAGAATGTCACAGTGCATCGCAGGCACAGCAACCGTAGTGAAAAGCCGCGTCCTACCACAGCCCTGGGACACCGGACAGGTAGCTCATTGCGCATCCAAGCTCTGCGGCATAGTTCCAAGCGTAGTTCTGCAATGTCACGCGGCTCCTCAAGTCGGAGCAGCCCATCTCACCGCACTATTCCTGTTCAGCGACACTCGATGTCACGGTCGTCTTTGGCAAGCTCGCATTGGCCTAGCAGTCCACCTGTCATTCCTCGCGCTGGCGGTATAGGTAAGCGTGGTGTGAGCTTCTCGCATCTACGTGACCGTCGGTCGTCGGCAGCTACAGCCAGCAGTTGGCAGACTGAAGTTGGGTCTTGTGCCGATTACATGTCTCATAGGCCTCACACATCGACCGGGTCGTACGGACCAGCCACAAGGGCAAGCACTGCTCGATCGAACGCCAAGGCAAAAGTTCCCGTTAGCACGGAGATTCCGCGGTTGAAGCTTCGTAAGCCAGAGAGTCCCACCAAGTACATTCAGGGTGAGGTCCGCAAGGTCAGCATGGAGCTGGGAAAGGTCATGGAAGAAGCTTTCAATCGATCGTCGGTCGGTTCAAGCATTCGGTCAGGTACAGATGCCTACCACAACACCTCCCAGTATGACAGCCCACCCACATCCTTCTCCAATACACGAGATTCGGGCGCCAGTACACTGGCCACTACTCCAGGTGCTAAGATGCTGTCTGGAGAGCGGCCACTACCGCCACTGCCCGCCGAGACGCCAAATACCTTTGTTCAACGAAAGCTGGCAGAGACACGTGCAGAGATTGCTCGGAGGCTCCATGAAGATGACAGCACCGAACATTTCAATGAAATCCTTGAGCATCTCGATCGCTTAATGGTGCCTGCAGCCGTTGGAACCAAGCGTATCGCTTCTGCACCTGCAAAGTCGCCTGAGTATGGACCGCTACATGTGATCCCAGAGGAAGTGAAGACCGATAGTGGAGACGGGTTTGGTAGCCTGATCCCCCATTACCGTTCTGTCACTGACCCTGTTAGACCTCAGGGACGCCGTTTCGTACCCGAACAGCAGCAGACGATTCGCATCGTCGATGGATCGCCCACTCGTGTCGCGCCTCTGAATATCCGCAAGCGGAGCGGTGCAAGCCTCAAGTCAACCAAGACTATCAGCGAAGCTACTGTTGCACCACCTCTTGGCTCTTACGATCACTCTACTGTTAGACCGTACCAAGATGTACAGAATGAGTTGCCTATAACTCGTACGAATAACGTCGCTCCTGCGCTCGAAAAGCAGAACACCGTGGTCAAGAAGAAGAAGTCGTTGTGGTTTCGTCGAAATGCAGATGACAGGGAGCGAGACCAGAATGAAAAGGAGAACGAAGTCAAGAAGAAGCAATCGAACGGGCTGCTTCAGATTCCCGAGGCGTGGCAAGGTCTCGACGACCGCCTCAAGAACGACCCTGCTCCCTTGACGAAAACCGGTAGTCTTAAACATAACCAAAAGCAGTCAAACGGAAGCAATGAGAGCGAATTCCCCATGCGCAACGCCGATGGCACGACTCGCAAGGGCTTCTTTGCATTCTTTGGAAAGAAGTCCAGGGACGAGAAGGCGAAGAAGCCAATGGACCTAGGAGGTGAGCACAGAACGTGCCTCTATGCGTATGCATACACTGACATCTCTTCAGGAGTCAACTTTAGTTCCTCTTCCATTTTATCCAACTTCGATCTGGGTCCCGGCAGCAGTAACGATGCAGCCCGCACCGGCCCGCCTGAGATGCAGATGAACTGGTTGTCTCACTTTCTGCACATCAAGCCTGCTAGCAAAACCCTGTGTTTCCAAATCGGCCGTGGCAAAGTTCGTCAAGACCTTGTCCGTCTGCTGCGTGATTGGCAGCGTTTCGGCGTTCACGACGTGTCATTGGATCGCGAGTCGAATTCCATCAATGCACGCATTGACAAGAATAATCGTAAGTTCATACTGGCATCCCACGCATCCTTCTTGCTCAGTCAGTGGCGTTCACAAAACTGCCGCTTTGAGGTTGAGGTTCTGAGGGCAGAGCTTGTCCTGCGATGTAATGCTGCTTTTTTGTTCGTGCTATGGAGGAACATGCTGACACCAGACACGCGTAGACCTGAAGATCAAGCCTGTATCCTTTGTCATTGAACTCTTTGTCGTACTCGAACACGGGCGCCGCGCCAACCTCTGCCTCGCGCGGTTCACGCAGACACGCGGTGCAGCCTCCAGTTTCCGCAAGGTGGTGGATATTGTTGAAGACGTGTGTCGCGCTCGCTGCATGCTGGTCGAGGACGAGCAAAAGAGGGCTTCGATGATGGAGGTCTTGGGCTAGGATACCGAGATGGAGGGGGGAGATGATACCGGTTGCTTGGATACCAGATGGCATACTTCCTCTTTATGGCCTTAGAGATTGTGTGTTGACATGGGTCATTTGTTTGGGTGTGGCATGACTGGAGGACGATCTGCATAAGCATACAGCACACAGTACTGCATATCGACGGAGAATGTTGGCTACTTGCACACGATACCCCCGATAGGGCTTACTGCGACATTGACAGCGCGACATGACGACGTATCAGGCCAGTATCCCCATGGCTGTGCTTCAGTAGCACTTGAAGCGGGTCCCTCTCTTCTGACCTTTCCATCAAGCATCTTTTTTGTTCCGTCGACGATCATTGTAGCTAGTACGTAAAACAGTAATAATGTTTTGTACTTGCTTTGTTGTTTTCGGGGCGCATCAAGTTGAGCGTGGAGTTGATAGTACCAGTCGACGGAAAGTTGTATAGATGTAATGCATAATTGCAATGATGGATTTGTGCGATGCAGTTATTGCGATAATAGTTAGTGATTCTTTAACTAAGAAATGTCCACTATGTGTGAGTATATCGCAGGGCTGGACGTCTAGTTGAAGACAGATGCCACTCAAGTCGAGGTATCAGTGAGTGCCAAGCCGCTAGAGATGAGCCTCGGTGAGTTAATCCCTGTCGCCAGCTTGAGATATCCTCCAGCACATGCGGCGCAGAACTCGTCTCGATAACAGCCTTGATGGCAAGTATAAACGGCAAAATGTCTCGAGCGCGCATTCTCTTCAATCGCACACCCTTCACATCCTCGTGCCAAATCGCCCGCCAGTCCCTCCGCCATGCCCGGAACACGCCTGCCCTTGAACTCCCCCTCCAGTCCCGCATCCGCTGGTCCTACTTCTGGTACGCCAGCATCCTCGCCCTGGGAATCACCACTGGCATGGGCGCCCGCCACTTTGCCGCGCCCCTTGGTCTTCCTGAGCCCGGCACGCACGACGACGCGCTGATTCTGGACTCGCTCCGCCGCGACATTGACGCCCTCGAGATTGTGCAGTCGCTCCGCTCCCAATCGTACAATCTCCACACCGACACGGCGCTGCGGTCAGGCCCGGGCCTCACGTCTGAGCCGCGGCCCGGAAGCCGCAAGATCTCGGCGTACAAGGGGTGGTTGGAGCTGGACTTGTCGTTTGGGCGCGAGAACGACGGCAACAAGGGCGTGCTGGGCGCCATGGGGGGCGCGCGCGGCCTGGGCGTGCAACGCGCATTCTGGAATGCAGAGACGAGGGAGATGGTGGCTGTTGTGTGGATTGGAGGCGCGTTGAGTGGCTGGCCTGGTGTTGCGCATGGGGGTGCCATAGCTACCATTTTCGAAGAGGTGTTTGCCAGAATGGCAAAGGGTCCGGATGGGTTTGTGGGTATGTATAGCAGTTTGATGTTTTGCTCTTTTGATTCCCGATTCCTACGCCCTGAATTGGTTTTTATGCATATCTCTGTGTGTAATTTTTGTGTGTGTGTGTGCTAAAATCTGGTATAGAGCCTCGCCATCGTCCAGACTCGCTTTCATTGACCTACGCAAAGCCCACGCACAGTCTCGACTTTTATATTATCCGCGCTGCCTTTTCAAAGCCAGACCTCCCGCAGTCGGAGCCCCCGCCTGAGCCACAGTCGCAGCCTACCAAGAGCTGGTTGGCGTGGTTGTCGCCGAGCAAGGATCTCACAAAGAAGAAGACTGGCGCTCCTGGAGAGGAGATTACAGGCACGCTGGAGAGTGTCCAGGGAAGTTTGTGTGTAAAAGCCAAAGCGACGTTTAATCGCTTGTGAAGAGTAGTCCTGTGGTGGTGTTGCTGATGAAGATACCCGGGGTGAAAAGTGCGTTGTTGGATAAGTTTGTTACTTTTGTTGTACATGCATGCGTATGGGATGTGCTATGCGGATATGTGACTGGTTCGTTTTATCCAAAGACTCTTACCTGCCCATCTTTTTACTGAAATTACCAGTCAGCAGCGCAGTGCCAGAGTGGACTTTACGTAGACTTTGTGTAGAAGTAACTGCCGCAATATGCTTTGATGCAAGTTGTGCTTGCATGACGGATACCTGCAACTACCCAGTAGCACATGACTCCTGCTTTGACAGACTTGCTCAGCTAGCCCGGCATAAACCCGAGCTTGTGATTGTCTCGGACATGCACCTTTCACTCTTCATCTAGCTCGCTCGCTCGCTCGCTGCTCTCTCCGCCACTGTCTCCAAAAGCCGTGCAATGCTGTTTGCACATCACGCCGAATCGCTGATACTACACTCTGTTCCGACGGGCTCAATCTGAATATCTACTTTACTTCTCGTCTCGCAACTCCACGGCGATTCGTACAGCGGTCCGCCACAGTTGAGGTGATACAGCTGCAGAGGCGTTACTACCCGACAGCATGCGCATGCAAGAGTACGCTTCATTTCTGGTGGCGATTTCCCTGTCGGTCTTTCTATTTGCCAGTATCAGCGTCGCCCACGAAGTCGAGTACGTGCCTGCATCCATCAACGGCGTGCGCGTGCGAGTAAGAGACGACCGGCAACCCTCGCTCTACACAACCGACTATGGAGATTGCCTTGGCGAGAGTGCCATCAACGTGACGCGGTTCGACGCAGCATACTACCGAGACAACATGACGATTGTGTTTCATCTCGCGGGCGAGACGGCCTTGACGCAGGACGACATCATGATGAACATTGGCGTTTTTGCATATGGCGAGAGCCGGTTCGACTTGACGTTTGACCCGTGCAATGCCAACATGTGGAGGTAATTGCCAAATACTCACAGCAAAGGAAGCCACACTAATTGTACTGCAGTGCCTGTCCCGTTCGAGCGCGAGTCCCGATCGAGGCCGCGGGCGTCATACCAATTAGCCAGGAAGACGTGGCCGGCATCCCGGAAGTGGCACTTGGCATTCCGGATTTCGAGGGCCAGGCGGTCCTGCGTGTGTTCTTGAATTCGACGCAGAGGGAAATTGGCTGCTTTGCGGCGCAGATTACAAATGGGTGTAGTTTTCAGCAGCAAGCGGCCGTCAGTACGATGCTGGGGGGTTTCACGCTGCTGGCTGTGGTGTCGTCGTTTGCGACTGCCGCGTATGGCTCGGATATACTCGACATGCGTAGGCATTACGCGCACTCCATGTCTGTGTCTGTGGTGGTGGGCGTATGGCAGCATATTTTCTACAGCGGAGCACTGTCGATGAACTGGCCCAGTGTGCTCGTGGCGTTCTGGAGCAACTACGCCTGGGCCGGCGGCATGATCTACTACGAGCCCATGCAGAACATGATCAACGACTTCATCGGCTCCAACAAGGGCAACACGTCGCATGTGGGAGCTGCGGGGACGGGCGAGAGCAATCCGCATATCGGAGGCGGAATCGACATTCACCAAATCTACACGCGGAAAGCCGTGCCTGGCCAAGTGCAGCTTCAGACTGCTGCGCTAGCAAAACGCCATCTCGTCGACGCAAGTACCGGGTTCAAGTACTACGGTCTGCCGCTCAAGCCTGGACTGCCGCTTCCGGGAAATTATTCGGGGTTTGCTGGTACGCTGGCGACGCAGCGGATTCCAGCGAGCAACGCCTTTATGACTGGATTACTCTGGCTTCTCGTCCTGATGTCATGTGCCGTTGTCTGCATACTTGGCCTCAAAGCAGGCGTCGAGTGCTTGAGCAGTGTCCGGATCGTTCGCCAGGACCGCATCACGTACTTCCGGCAGCACTATCGAGCGTATATTGCAGGAGTGCTACTGCGCATGGTGCTCATGAGTTTCTTCATGATGGCGTTCCTGGCCATGTTCCAGTTCTCATACTTGGCTTTGTCGGGCCCCGTTGCGGTAGCCTGTGTCGTCTTTGTCGCCGTGGTGTTTGGTGTCGGCAGCGTTGCGGCGTATGCTTGCTTCTCCAGGCTGCGCCTCGGGAAATACGTGTCTGAGCCGGATCGGCTCAACGTGGCCAAGCGGCGGTTGTTCAGGATGATACCCTGGTGCAGCATCTCGAGGGACAGTGAGAGGCCGCGTTCAGAAGACAATGTATATCTCTGCTCCATGCCGTGGTGGCGGATACATGCCACGGCAGAATGCACATGGATGCATTCTGACGAGGGATACACGGCAAAGTTTGGATGGCTGGCCTCACGCTACAGGAGGCGGCGATGGTGGTTTTTTGTCGTCTGGCTCTTCTACGAGTTCTTCCGAGCTGGGTTTCTGGCAGGAGCATCCAGTGAGCCCATGGTGCAGGTCTTTGGTCTCCTGGCCATCGAAGCGATTGCATTCGTCATGTTCATGGTGCTCCGCCCTTTTGAGGGCCAGCGTCTAAATGCCATGGGTGTATATCTCCTCGGGTTCAGCAAGGTCAGCACTACGGCGCTGTCGGCAGCGTTGGATGCACGGTTTGGTCTTGGTCGGATTCCTGCAACGGTGATTGGAATCGTCATCATTGTTATCCAGGGCCTTTTGACTGTCGCTCTGATGGTTCTTGTATTGATTGGTGCGGCGTCGAGTTACATGTCAGTCGTGCGCAATCGCACGGAAATCAGGCCACGGAGCTGGAACCCAAGTCGAGAAAAGTACTTTGGGCACATGGAGTCGGCGGAGCAGGATGTTGGACGGCCAAGCCCGCGCCGGGTATCGGTGCACTCGATGCCGGAAGTACCAAGGGCGCCGTACTTTGAGGTCAAGCAAGTGAAGCGGATGGCCAAGATTGAGGACGAAGACGACGAGTTTATGGAGGAGATCAAGCGCGAGCCATTGGCGAATCAATTGCATGGCCGGCCAGGGCAGGGTAGCAGAAGAGGCAGCGTCCAATCGCGGGCTTCGTCGTCGAGCTTTCCACGGGCAGCGCGGTTGCACCGTGCAAGCTGGAGCACGCAAGATTACCATGACGCAACTGGACGGCGGCGCGACCGGGCGCTGAGCAGCACTAGCACGAGCACGCGACTAGGCGAGGATACCGAGATGAAGCCAAGCACGAGTGCCAGTGGGGCGTCGAGACGGACGGATACTCCCGTCATGGGACATGGGGAGAGCAGGGCAGCGAGCAGGCTGACGTGCATGTCGCGGGCAAGTTGGAGGCCCCGACTGGAAGCCAGCATGCGCGAAGAAGATGTAGCGTCGCCCCGAAGATGAGATGAAGCATGGTAGCGTCACGTGAGTGGTGAATGACTATACGCAGTGAGAGTGGTGGACAATACAACAACAACAACAACAGCAGCAGAGACGATACCCGAATGCATCCTCAGACAACAGCTTTGGACCAGATTAAGGCAGTAGTTCTAGGGCGGACGGAACATGATTGGCCCATACGTTACAGTCTATCTGTACCCAAGACAGCATCAGTGGTGAGCATGGATTGGCCTTTGGTTATCGGGTGAATATGCGTATTAGATGGGGGATAGATTGCTTCATTTTCTGGACGGCATGGAGTTAGAGCGTGTCGAGGGCATGTCGAGGGGGGGCTGCTCCGGAGATGAAGGCTGTATCTGATTTAGGGCGTTGGATGTGGTTTATCTTATAAATCAGACGCTCCGCCTATAACGCTAGTTTAACACTAACGCCTAGCGTCTTTACTGGAACTTCTACTTACTTCTAAGCTTATTATATATAATTATATAAAATAATTATAAAAGTATAAGTAAAGTATTTAAAAAATATTAGTTTCTACTTTAGTAAAAATTAAACTAAATACTGAAGATTTCATTACATATATATCAATGTCTTATTATTATTATTATTATTATTGTTCCATTAGAGTCTAGTGAGCTCGAGGCTATGTAAG